TTATCCAATAATATAGTGAACCTCGCTTAACGAGCATAATTCATTTCAGAATCTTACTTGTGATGCAAAACATTTGTTAAGCAAAACAATTTTTCCTATATAAATTAATGTAAAATACAATAATGCATTCCATACTGAAAAAAATACTCAAATATTTTATGTATAACGTTTATTTAAAGAAAATTATACAATATACTGTATTAAATTTAATACAAGACAGCAGTGTAACTGCCTACCTCTAGCCAAATAAATTAATTTCTAATATTTAATTATAGCCTTTACATAGTCCAAGAATTTTGTATACCGTTTGGTGTGTTTATTATATAACAGGCTATGACTGTTGATGTTTATACGTAATATGTCTGAACACAAGTTTGGAAAAATGTGTGATCACAAGCAACACCAAGATGCTAGTGGAATGAGTGCTAAACACAGACTGATGTAGCATGCAGACAATCCGGGAGTTCCCCTCTCCTCGTCACTCCTTGTGCGAAACATTGCTCGTTAAGCAAGTCATTTTTTATCATTTGTTTTGTTCGTTATGCGAGGTTCCACTGTATCTCTTTATACAAACAGAAGAATGTGTTCAAATTTCATTATTTTTACATTTGATTTTCGAAAACTTCCATGATTTACGAATCTGATTATTCCGAAATGAAAATATTTATGTATAATAATAATAATAATAGCAAGTAATGATAAATTTATCAAACTTTAAACAATAGTTTTTTATAACTAACTTATTAACTATATCAAATCAATTTAACAAAAATTAATATCAGCAAACTGAACAAAGTTATATAAGAAAATTTTTCTAACAAGCATATATATATATTTTATATGAATCAAAGAAAATCATTTAACACTGCATGCAAGAATGGTATAGAAAATTATTAATGCTATAGAGCAAGAAAGTATATTTGGACTAACTTATAAAAAAAATACTGTTCTGGGAATGCATTGTAAGATTAATGTTAATATTATATTAATTATTATAATTACCAGAGAGGAATGGAGGAAAAAAATGAAGGAAAGGAAACGATACATATATTAATATCATCTCTCATTCCTTACATCATAATTTTGTCTACATTCTTTTACATTTGGTTGAATGAATGAATAGATAGAACATGTCTGTATTACAGAAAATGAGTAGTCAGTATTATAACAGCAGAGTTAGTGAAAATGATGTTTTTCTAACCTGTTTGATAGATTTTGCTATTTGTCTTACAGATGATCATTTTTAATTTTCCCAATCTATGAAAATCTTTGCATATCTCAGAGAGAGTAAATGGAGAACATGTAGAGCAAAAATTTGGTACACTTATCTCACTATTTAATAAATTTCCTAAAAAATAATTATAAATTTCATCATTATTTTTCAAAAATTAACATTTTATAAGGTGAGAAAAATGTAACAATAGTAATAAAAATTTCATGAATGACTATTTTATTTAAGCGCGCGTGCGCACGCACACACACACACAAAATCCAGTAAATTATACATTAATTCTCTTTGAAATCAAAGAAAAAATTTACAAATTTTAAGCAATATCACCAGGCCTGTGGAGTCTTAATCGGGAGGAATTTCTGGCCAGAAAAGTCGAAAATATGTGTTGACTTGACTCTGACTCCCGCATTTTAAATTTACTTTAGTTTTTTTTATTTAAATAAAAGAAAATTTATTATATATTTATTAATTTTTTAAAATCTTTTTGTATTTTGTTATAATTAATTTATTTTAAATATAAAATACATCAATTTAATTTATTAAATATGTAGGGTTCTTTGTAGTATTTGTGTTTAGTAGTTAAATTATTTTGACCCAATTGAATTTGAATATTTTTGAATCATTTCTTGATTATCCCTGCTCTAAACAAATACTCTATTTTTCTGAATGAGCCAGGCTAATTTATCAGAGTACATATGTTTCTTTTCTGAACAAGGGCTGAAGTAGCTAGATCACACACTTTTTAGTTGAACTAACTCTTCTGAAAGGGTGAAATTGAAGTGCAAATGCTGTCAAATATATGTAGATGTAGGATTTTATTACCCCCTTTCTCCTCTTATTAAATATTTGTTAAAAAGGGACTGAAGTAGTTAGATCACACACTTTTCAGTTGGACTAACTCTTCTGAAAGGATGAAATTGAAGTGCAAATGCTGTCGAATATATGTAGATTAGAATTTTATTGCCCCCTTTCTCCTCTTATTAAATATTTGTTAAAAATTAATTTTTTTATACAAATAAATATTAATGTAAGTTAAATATTAAAAATACTAACTATAAAAGTATTTGGGTAAATGCCCCAGACTCCTTTCAGAGTAGGGTACCCCCTATGAGTGTCTCTGCCCCCCATAAAATGATTTAGTATTTAATTTTGCCGGAGTCGGCCTACTAAAATTATCATGAATCTGAGTCGGAGTCAAGTGTTTCTTTTACTGACTCTGCAGCTCTGAATATCACACAAAATATGTTTAAATTAAATGAAATAAAAAGTAGGCACTTAGCCTATTTGTATGAAAAGGCCATAAACTTCAAAGTAACTTTAGATGAAAAGACTTTTAAAAATTATTTTAAATAAATATTTTTCAAACTATTAAGTATGATAAGTTCTTAAAAACTAATTTATCTATACAAGAATTTAAACCTCTAAAAATCTTGATCTAAAATAATAAAATGACATTGAATTTGTGAAATTATTTTGATTTTCAGTCTGATGAGGTTTAGGAATTTGCATTTTTACTTTTTAGTAGATTTTTCAAGATTTGGATTTATAAAGATTATATTATAACTTAATATACAATACATATAAGAGACAAATTATAAATATTTAAAAACAGGCAAAATCAATAAATCAAAATTTCAGAAAATGGAGAAAGAAATTCTGCAATTTGAGACAGGTCAAGGATCTCTAAGAATGAAATGGTCTAAATAATGACAGTATACTCTTGACCCCTAAGTACAGTACATGCTAATAGCAAAAACTGTATGATGTATTATTCCAAATATTGGCTGAACATTATTTTTATGCTTGTATTTTTCCTTAAATTTTGGAGGAAAAACTAACTATATTTTTACATAATTTTCATTTTATACTTTAAAAATCAGCAAAAGAACAAAAAATATTACTACACTACTCTGGGTTAAAGTAAAGAAGTTTCCTTGCTTGTTTTCCTAAAGTGTAAAATTTAATTTACTGTAAAAAAGTATGTATTACACTGGAATATGCCCCAGAAATTCAAATATCTCAGAGAAGTAAATTTAAATGAAAACACACAAAAAGTTAATATACCAAATATCATTCTTTGAATACTTTCCAAAATAAAATTAAATTATACAATCTAATTATTATAGAATTGCAATTTAAGTAAACTCTTAAATTTATATACTAGATTTTTGTAAATTTAATTAGTTGTAACCGTAAATTTTATCTTATCTTTCTTTCATCAACATCTATTAAAAAATGAAATTTCACAAAATTTTTAAACAATCTTCTCAATTATAAACAAAAATTAACAAAATTATTATTATAAAATAATTCTAAGGTATTTCCAAATTTTTAAAAATACATCACAGATTTTTTTTATACATAATAGTGGAATGTATGGGAATTATATCATAATATGAATATAACATTTATATACATCACATCTGTTTACCATGAAACTGAAAAGAATTTGACACTTGATATTATCTATTATAAAAAAAACCTGACAAAAACAAAGAACTTTTTAACTCACCCTCAAGAGATGATTTATGCTGTTTTCGATGATATTTATATTACTTACCTTACAGCTGCAACTATGGAGACAAGACTAAACTTTTAACTCCAAGTAATAATTCAATTCTTGGAGTCATTTCATATATTTAATGATCTCTATATTATAATGTTAACAGTCATTTTTCATTTTATCACAAAATCACAGTACTTAGAAATAAAACTTTTTTACTTACCCACAATATGGTTCAGTCTGATAGACATTTAAAGACTAAACTTTTTTGTTAGAATATATTTTGAAATTTTATGAGATGATAAAATGAAATTCCAAATTTATTATTGATGTACACTTTACTGCTCAATGATTCACATTTCTGTATTTATCAGATTAAAAACATTTACACACTATTTGTTAAGAAAGTGCATAAATTTTTTAAAATATAATTTATTAAATCATCCTTAAAATAGATTGTTTAATGAAAATATAAAAATTTAAAGATTCATATAAAAATTTAAACATTCATGTTGTTTCCATTGTGTTAAAACACAATGGAAACAACATGAATGTTGTGAGATGAAATACATCGATATAAAATTTGGAAACAGCTAAAACCTATTACTTAAGAAATTTTTATAGAAGTATATATTAATGTTACAGCCTAATTCCCTATTCACTGTTATAAATTTATATTATTTATAAATATTTACTTACCAGTTTTACCCAATAATGGATTCTGATATAAAGACTAAAACAAAACAAGCTAGATATACTCATGTAGGAGGAGTAAAATACACATTACATACTCACCAGGTCATACACTAAACTTAAACAGCAATGATCGAGAGCATGGTTGCTGTTGCTTGCTGTTTTTCTCAACTCAAGGTATATGCCTGGTGTTTGGGAAATGATAACAACCTCAGCTGAAACCACAAATACCCCTTTCCAAGTAACTTTTTAAATTACAGTAGGTTCCACTACTGTTATTGTTAAAATGAAACAATGATATGCCACTTGTAAATTTTATATCAGAAATAGGATTATTATTTTTATGTTATTATATTAACAAATTTATTATTAAATTATTTATATCAAAGTAAGTAATTCCCAAAACAATGTATTACTTTTAAGTTTATCTAAATGCAAACTTTCTGAATCATTCTAAAATTTGGATGAATTAACACTATACATGAGTGATATTATTTTCAAAGAAATATAGCTTTTAATAGTTTAAACAAGTGGCATATCTTTAAAGAAATTTATCAGTTCTGCAGAAATTACCTTGTATGTATCTCTAAATTTATCTATTTCTCTGTGTATAAGACTTTTTTTTTCTTCTTCTAGATCCATTTCATCCAAATCCTAAAAGGATTAGTTAAAAAATAATATTAAATTAACATGTCTCAAGACTTTATACTAGATAAATACAATTTACATCACATCTATGTAATTTTAGTATCCCATAATTTCCTGCAGTTAACCCACAGGTTCATTGTTTGAAAATCAGACTGAAAATGGATATGGATTATTTTAACAATGAAGGTTATCTGTAGATTTTTAATTGCAATTATAAACTCAATAGCTTTTCTTTTGTCTAAACTTACCAAGTGTCTAAAAAATGTGAAAAATCCTTTGCACCTTGTAGATATATTTACCAGACACTTCTACTTAAAACTGTATCCTGTAACATGAAGTTTCTGATAATCTTCTCTTTATATACAACTCTCAGAAATTTAGAGATATAATTATTTAGAAGTTTTTCTGGTTAGAATCTGACTGTTGATTTTTTTCTTCCTTTAGCTTATACAACAAAACAGGTGAGTGATTAACTCTATAAACCATGTGAATGAATGCCATGAGCATAAAAAAAAATTTTAATGAGTTTGAGTTTTTTGAGTTTATTTTAGCTTTTACTATTACTATCATCATCATTATCATCATCATCATGTATTTTATTAATTGTATTTAATATATAAAACAGAATTAAAGTGAAACAAGAAAAATTATTTCATTGTCTGGAGAATGTCTGGAGACTTGTCCTGTCTCCAGACATTCTCCAGACAATGAAAAATGTGAGTAAAAAAATTTAATATTAATTTAAAAAGCATATAAATAATTCAAACTTTTCTGATTTTAACTAACAATGCCCCAACTTTATCTTTTTCTTCTCTTCTATCCTTATCAGATCTAAGAATCTGTGCTACTGATAAATACTTGACACACAATTTGATGTTTTTTATATTAGCATATGGAGCTACTTGCAAAGATATAAAGTGTATATTTTTTACTGTGCTGTTTTCACTTGCATCATTAGATTTAGTATCAAAATTAACTAGATGTGACAAAGTTAAACCTTCTATCACTAACAGGAAAATATGTAAAGTAGTACTGTGTGTAATTTTCTTCTTAATTTCTTGCATTCTAGTACCATTAAAGAGGAATGGGATATAACTTTTTATATGTGCAATGTATAAAGATAGTTTAGGACAGGCATGGCCAACAGACGGCCCATGGGCTGGATCTGGCCCGTCTAATGAATTTATGCGGCCCGTGATCAATCTTTCAATATTAGCTACTCAAGTCTGAATAGCTTGATGAAAAATTTTGACACAAAAGAGAAGGAAAAAAACTTAACTGTGCGTTTAGAGTTAACAACCCTCTATTACAAATCTCGTAAGTACAGCGTAGAATGTTAATAAAGCATGATAATGTGAAAAATGTGTCTGTAATCTCTATCTACAATTTAGACTCTATGGGGTGACACCACAAGAAGATCTCACATCACCTCAAAATCTTAGGGCAGCCTCTGATTCGGCCCATGGAAAAAGTTTTCTTTCCAATTCAGCCCGGGGGCAAAAACTGCTGGCCACCCCGTTTAGGAAGTAATGCTTTACCACAAAGTAGTAATTCAACAATTACATGACACTGAAATGAATCTGAATTTTAATGAATTTTTACATTTAGGAATACAAAAAATAAAATTATTTTATTCATCCACCTTTAAAAATGTTCTTTATGCAGAAATTAAACTTTAAATGTGGAAGAACAACTGTATAAAAAGTAATCACAATTATCGTAACAAATAACTGTAATTATTTGAATTTTACTACTTACTATGAAACTTAATAAAATAATTTTGTAAACTAACAATATACAATTGACAATTATTTTTATTTATATCAAAAAATAATTAATCCATCAACCTTATTTGTTATAAACTAAGAAATGATAAAATTTACAACTTATCTTTTTATCAAAAGCTGACACTATTACACTTTAAATTTTTTTCATGGAAATTATGTTTTTCTTCTTTTTTTGTCATTAATGAAAAATAATTTGAAAATAAAAATTTTTATCTCAAAAAATTTGTCATTATTAATATTAAATATATTTATATTTCTTCAATATAAAACCAAATATTATTTGCAAGCAATGTTTAATGTTCAAACAAAATTTATGCTATAAATATACTAATCATTTACTTTTTAGTTCAGCTGTGATAAAAACTTTTGCTACTAAAATTACTGATTATTCTCTACTAGCTTACCCATCGCACATTACTGCGATCTCAGAAGAAAGGAAATTCAAGCAAACTCGTTATGATAAAATTCAATTTACATTTTATCATTTTTATTGAAACTTATTATTATTATTAATTTTCATCAGAAAAACATTTCAAAGTGTCGTTTCAATTCTATTTATTTATTGAAGTGCTCGTGGGTACACGATATTTTTTGTTTTTCCGTCTGGTGTGTACACGAATAAATCAGAAGGTTTTCCGACGCGTGAGCTGGCCACATACAGTTGTACATGTGAGAAGCACGGATTCTCCAAATTTAGCCCACAGACTTGCAGCGATTGTCAGAAGTGTGATATTCCCCATTTTTATATATAATTTTTAATCCTTTATAATTTTGATTATTTAATTGCTCCTTCCTCTCTTCCTTGGCATGTTGTGAAATTTCTAATTAGTTGGATAAAATTTGTCTTTTTAAATTATTTTGAGTTGATATTAAAATTTGGAAAAGGGGGATCCCTAGATCAGTAAAATAGGCGAATTTCCTTCTACAACTTCGGTTGTTGTTCGGGATACAGTTAAGGTTTTTAACAAAGTTCGAGCAAATACATAATTAGCAAAAAAAAAAGTGGAAATAAAGTGATTAAACAAAAATTATTACAAATATCGTAAATAACAAATGCATATATAGAGATATTTTTTGGAGGGGGAAATGGTCTTCACAATTTGAAATCGATTGAATACACAGTAAAATGCTCGTATACATGCTCACCATCTATCATAGGATAAATGTACTATGCCAGAAACCTTCGCAAGAGTGTATTAAAAAACTTCCCAAAGCTTCATGGCAATCGTACTATGCCAGAAACCTTCGCGGGAGTATATTAAACAACTTCCCAAAGTTTCATGACAATCAAATAAATGGTGTGGTAATGCATGAAGGACAGACACACAGACATAACAATCTATATACAGGTAGCCCTCGGTTTACGCCGCAGTTCCATTCCAACAAAAGCTGGCGCAAATTGAATTGGCGTAAAACGAACCCATATTTACAGTGAGGTATAGGGTTAGGTTCTACATAAGTGAAAAATCAGCAAATAATTTTGTTTATTAATACAATATAATACAAAATACAAATAAATTTAATTTTTAAAATGTATTTTATCATAAAATAAAGTGAAATGTTTTTATTAAAAAATTTTAGTTTCGAATATCTTTTCAAAAAAGTATCCATCTTTAATTGTTTACACTTTTGTTTTCTTTCATTGAGAATTTAGGAATATGGTCAAATATGATGCACCTTTTTACATTTGCACTTTGCTTCCAATCATTGTCTAACTCACAAAGTTCATCCATCAAATTTTCCTTAGTTAAAAGGATATGTTAACCCTACGTAGAGCTACAAACGAGCGAAGACACTGATTGGTCGACCACCGCTCGGTATAAGGTCAGTTTGAGCGGGAAAATTCAAGGTGGCTAAGGAGAAATAAATATTGTCTGGCCAACGAGAAGTAGATTTGTCTCACTAACGATAGTTTGTGATCGCCGGAAGTGCTATTGCGTTGTAAAGTGTTTTCTTGAACGAACTGATACGGGATACGTTCAGTGGCACTATGGATTCGGACGCCATTTATTGGACTTTTAAGATCTTGACTCATGGTACCTAAGCATTTAGTATTTTAATATTAATTTAATGCAAACGTATACATACCCAATAATATTAAACAGAAAAAATAAATATATTCAATAAAAATCTTTGTTTTAACGAATGTACAATGTCGCGGCTTGGTAAATACGTCAACACTGAAATGAAAATGAGTCTAATATGCGGAAAATCGGGGAATTACACTGCAAAACGGCGAATTGCGAAGCGGCGTAAATTGAACCAGCATAAACCGAGGGTATATAAAAATGAATGTATGACACATTTTCACAAGTTTTAAAATCTTGCAATCCTGATTTTCTTTGTCCAACATTTTATCAAAAACAAAAATAATAATACAGTGGTACCTCGTATAACGTACTTAATCCGTTCCAGGTGCACGTCCATTATACAAAACGCATTTTCCCATAGAAATACATGTTAAAACTTATAATTCGTTCCTCAGCATAAAATAACTGTACTGTACCATAAAAAAATTGAAAATGGAGCAGTCACCAATTATGCCGGGTAGTCAGATGTTGTGAGAAGGAGGTGAAGAAACATTTTCTTCACACATTCATACAGATACAGACTTTTTACACATTGCAGCAGGGTTCTTTTTATTGTTTTTTAATCAGAGTCAGATTCAGGAGAGGCTACCGGAGTTGCAGGGTCATCTCCTCTTGTTCCATCCTTTGCTTTTTGGCAGCTTGCTTCTTGAAAAACATATCCAAGGTGGTCTGTTTCTCTCTCTTCTTCAACACCTGTCAGAAATGATGGGCAAGGGTGTCATTGTAGAGATCATTGATCCTGTTGGCCTCAGCTCTGTTTGGATAATGAGTGTTAGTAAACTCCTGAACCTCTCCCCATTTGACAAGGAAGTTTTTGTCAACTTTCACTCCTTGTGATGATTTCTTGCTTTGTTTCAATTGAAATCATCTTTCTGTTTTTTAGAAGCCATGATTTGCACAACACTTGAATAAATGTAAATACCCTGCACTGAGGTGATGTATGTAATAAACAAGGGAGCAAGCCGAATCCCAACAGGAGCTATGTACTTCAGATATAATAATAATATATTCTAATAATACTAATATATTATAAAAATAGCAGATTGTCGTTGGCAATGGCAAAAGAGTGGAAACATCATTCACACTTGTTTGCAGAAAGTCTGTTGTTCGCAGCATCCATTATTCGAGGCATACATTATACAAGGCATCACTATAATTATATTTCTTGTCAGATAACTTGTGGTAGCATGCAACTTTTAAGTTTTTTAAAAAAATTACTGAAACTAAAAGTATTTTTACAATCTTTAGTAGTGTATATATCAAACTTCCAAAGTGGCAGTGAAATTCTAACAAGGCATTTATTAATACACAGTTTAGACAATACCATCTCAACCACCGTTTTCCTTATTTTCATTTCTTTCATTTCACTCATGTCATAAGTTAATTATAGATAGTTATCGAGTAAGTAAAATAAATAAATAAATAAATGGAAAAGAAGGAATTAATGTAAACTTATCAGCTTTCAAGGAATAAGTTCAATCACCTAAAATCTTCAGCCAATAATGACTTTACTGAGTTAAATATTATTCTATCAAACAGAAAGCAATTAAGAACATCTAATAACATTGATTAAAGAATAGATTATGCATAGAAAATGAGTAAGTGAGAACTATAGGTGTCTCTGGTGGTTTTGGGAAAAATCATAATGGCAATTACAGGAGTTTCAAAACTTCAAAAATGTTAAAATATTTTATAATAAATTGCACGTTTCAAAATCAACACACAAGTTATCTTATCACATAACCCATACCTGATTTCAGCTTAATTTTTTTAAGGCTAATCCAGACATTATCCATAAGGCAATACTATACTATAAATAGTTTCATAACCAATTATTTTAAATTTATCTTGATGAATAAATACAGTAGAATCCATTTATTGTAATCATGGATATTGTTATCATTCATATTTTATCAGAATTAGCATGTCCCAAAGCATGCAAGTTAATAATTGAAGCATGCAATGCCATAACATTGTAAATGCCATTTTTCTCATGTTTTATTGAAGAAATGAATTTTAAATACAATGTTCTCATCTACGAAAAAAATATTTTGATGATAGTGGCACTCTGAGTGGCTGTATTTTGAAGTTGAATTTCTGAGCAAGCCACATGTTTTAAGTGCCAAAGTGCAAATCACATGACTTTTGATGCATAAAACATTATATCTTATATTTACATCATTTTGTTATTCCAAAGAATTTGTAACAGAGTGAGTCCTTTACAATTTTATTCTAAAATTGAAATGAATTCCTTGAAGTGTGAAATACCTAAAAGAAAAAGGAAATGTACAGAAAAGTGGAAGAACATTCAAAAGAAACAAAAAGAAATAGTGGCTTAGAATACATTTCCCCCATATCACAGAAAGTTAACCTGAGATAGGATCCACCAGAGGTAAGTAAAAGACTAAATACTTCAAAAATATAGGCCTAGACTTGACATTTACAAGATATGAATAAACAGTATAAGTCATTGTGTCTATGCATGAGTACACAATTTGTAGATGTGTTTCTTACAAGTCTGTTGAATTTTTTGTTTATGTTACAGGTAACATGCAAGTGTGCCTTTGCTTCCAGAAATGGAAGGCTGGATTACTATCAGGAACTGTTCCAACAATTTTAAGATCTGGATGATTACAATAAGCAGCAGAATTATCTTCAAAGACTTGTTCATCCCATGATGATAAGAGATGATATAGGAAGTATGACCATCCTTCCAAAAGTAGAAAGCAACACACTTTGTAATGAAATTTGCTTCTTTCCAGCAGAAGTGACATAAAAGTTTGTCTTAAGTCTTTGTGTTAAATACATTTGTGGTTACTGCAAGGATTCAGTTGACTGGAGAAAAGATTTTGGAGGGAAAAAATGGATTATATTGATCAAAGAGGAGGCCAGCACAAATGTATTGAAAAGCAGTTGTGGACAGAAAAAATAATAGAGCACATTACAAATTTTCCAAGTGAAAAAAAGTCATTATGCTCGAGCCAAAAGTACAGATAAAATGTACTTATCACCTGATCTCAATCTTAGCCTTCCTTGAGAAATATTGTCGACAGTACTCTGAAGCAAAGCCCCAGTTACCAACAATAGTACAATAAAATTTTGCTGACCAAGTTCAATCGATCTTTTCAAAGCATCACATGAAACTTGCTCAACTTGTGACTGCCTTGATGTACGAATAAAAGCTGGTGATATGTCAGCAAAAACAAAGTAGGAATTACATTACCACAGAGCTGAATCATACAAGTAATCATAAAAGATATGTCCGATGACACAAAATTGATAAAGATTGAACTCCAACTCCAAATTCCAAAACTGTGGTGAAATCAAAAAGCAGTCACCAGTAGATTTTTGTCAGTTTTTAATGTTAAAATTGAGTTTCAATTTTTTGTAAATTGTGTTTAATAATTTAAATTTAAGTTTTTGGTATTCAAAACTGTTTTCAGCTGTAGAAACATTCATTTTATGACTGCAATTGTCTTTGGCATTTACAACCTGTACAGTATAGTACTTGCACAATTTTGGCATTTACAACATTATGACATTGCATGCTTCAATTATTAACAATAAAAACATAACTTGAAGATTTAATTATTTTACTATGTCCTTCTAAAATAATTTAGAAACTTTTGTACAAAATGAAAATATCCATCTAATCTATTCATACATTAAAAACACAGAACAACCTTTAATTATGAGTAATTAAATTCACCTGGTATTAATGTACAAATTTCAATTTAAAGAATTGGATTATCCTTATATTGCAATTATTTACATTGTCATTTTTATTATATTGACAAGATATAATAAATAAATATATATACACAGTACTTCCTTGATTAAACTCTAGGCGGTTTATTTTTAAACCATACATATCCCTGGGATTTATTTGACGACCTGGGGGGTTTCTTTTTATTCAGAGGTTTATTGCCTTGCAACAGGAGAGAAATGAGTAAAACTAGAAAGAAATACCTTAAATACTTGTACATTTTCCAAACTATAAAAACCTATAGGTTATAACTACAAACATTTGAAATAATTAGTGTTTTCATAGTTAATCCAATCCAGCATTTTCCAATTTGGTTATTATGTTGTCATTCGTGTCTGCTTTGATGTCATTGTAAGATCTTGACTACCTCAAACTCACCATCTGTTTTGTAAAGAGATTGTGAATTTGAAACAGTTTTTATAATTACCCTTTGGCTAACAAGCTCTTGATTCATGAACTTGATGACAACTTTCCCATGCTCAATATTCAACAATATTTATAATTTCATTTCAAAAAAATATTTATGTGAACCTTGGAATATAAAGTGGTCTGATTCTAGACAATTTGAAAAGGTAAAATTTTAGTTAAACTCTTCACCTATCACTCTAAACTACATTACTCCACACAGTGTAATACTTCATGTTTTTCAACCTGAGATTTTTAACAGCACGTTTATTCCCAGAATTTAATTCAGAAAATACAGTAATTACACACACACACAAAATATTTTGTAATTCAAATTAGAAAATAATTTCAAGATTATAAATTATATCATGAAAAAATTTTGTAAGAATGACACATACATTTTTAGGATCTTTTTCTGCATCTTGATTCATCTTCATTAGAACTTCTTGTACTTTTGTAATTTTACGCTGTTTTTCTGTAGGAGAAACAGCTTCTACAAAATAATTTATTAAAATTAAACATCTCATTAATATAAAAATTGTACTTAGAAATGTAACCAATATTGAACTGTTACTAAATCGATATCTCTACATCTGCATATTGGAATGTTTCATCTGCATCAGAACATTCTGATATGCCATTATATCAGTATCAGATTGATAGTGATTCAGTATTGGTTATTTCTAATTATAATACATCTAAAAATTAAATTATAATAATTGACTCTTAAAAAAAGTATTTATCAAAATATATATGAAATCCCAAAATTCAATTTCTAATTCTATAACTTTTTACAGAAAAAAAAATTTAAAATTGTTTATTAATTCAAAGAGTTTGTTGAGTTATATATAAAAGTTAGGTCTGTCAAATGATTGTTTTCTCAGCATTCATGAATTCAGGTCATTCTACAACATGTTCCAATACCATTGCCAAAACTTCTTATGAAAAATTGTTAATTTTTGATGTGATATGTTTTAATCCTAAGTTCTTGGTTTATCATCATCAAAAAGCAATACAGGATGTCCCACTTAAAATCAGCCCGACTGAGATGATTAAACATTAGTGATGCAAATTTTACAAGAGAGATTTAAAAGGGAAAGTGTATGAGACCAATCCCAGAACTATATGCAAAGTAAAGGAAAGCATTTGCAAAAGCATTGACAATGAATACTTTATGCAAGGTCAGTTTGAACATGATTATGCATACAAAAAGATGCAAAGATGCACAAGGGCAAAATCATCTTATGTAAGTTAATCATCTGTGCATTTAAATAATGTTAAAATAAAGTTTCTAATGCAATCACAATGAATGCTAACATTTATCAAGAAAACATTTGCTAATTTGAAGGAGGCAATTCATCACAAAATGTCAGGTCTTCTGTCCCTTGACGTTGTTCTTCTCCATAATGTATGCCCACACACTGTCAAAGTTACATTGCTACAGAAGTGGAAGTGAGCGGTTTCAGCTCATCCTTCCTACAGTCTAGACCGAGCCCCTTCAGAGTTCCAACTTTTTCCACAACTCAACAAGCATTATGAAGTAGTATCAGTCAAATTATGAGATGCAAGTTGAAGTCTAGAAATGGCTATACCAGTCATTGGGTCTGAGTGTTTTTGTAGAAACATAGAACAAATAAATAAATCTGCAAGAATGGTAACTATGTTGGAAAATAGAGGACAAGCAATCAAAAGTGTCATGTCATTTAATTGTACTATATGTATGCCAATAAATAAACTGTAAAACTTAATTTTTTTATACACCCATATAACTGATTTCAAGAAAAATAATAAATGAGATAATGATTAATAATGAATATTAATGATCTATAGTAGTTATCTCTTGCTTTAATAAATTGCTTAATATGTGAAATAAAATAAAAGTTTAATTAAGCAGACATGCCAATATGGACATTATATTGACATGTTTAATTTTGTCTGAATAATTCAATTAAAGACTTTTGATTTTCATTTAAAAAATTTGAACAAAATTATTCAAAATTTGAAAATGTATAATAATGAAAGATATTATTACTATTATTATACAGGGTAACTGAAAAATCACACAACCCATAAATATGGAATAATGTAGACATTTAATTTTCCCATCACCAGGGCATGGATGGTATTGATAGCTTTGTCATCTGCATAATCGACAATGCCAATGACCAGGTAAAAGGTTGCATGCTGGTGTGGAACCAAAGCAAGGGCATGGGTATTTACAATGTGGTGGTGCTAAACAAGTTCATTATCAAACACATTTATGACAAATTCAGGACAAAATTGCTGTCTGCTGCTTTTGCCATCTTGCAGATGGCAAAAGCAGCAGACTGAGCATATTCACAGAAGAGAAGGTAATGAATGGATGTGTGCACAACAATGTTGAATAATCCAACAGTCTCTCCAGAGACTTGCTAGCCAGAATGGGTTATAGTACAGAAGTACACAGAAAGCTATGTGTAAAATGTTGAAACTGTAGCTGTACAAAATTAGCATGACACACAAGCTGCTGCATGGAGATGACTACAAGCAATTATGATATTTGTTGTTGGGTTTTGAAATCTAACTCCAAATAATGATTAACTTGATGACTGGTACTGATGACTAGCAGATGAAACATGCCATGTGGATGGATATGTCAAAGCTCAGAACTTACAAATGTGGTCTGCAGAAAATCTACACAAACTAAACAAAACTCCTCTGCATGTGCAAGAAGTTGGTGTTTGGTGCACTGTCATGGAAGAAAATCTTCATCTGCTTCTTTCATGATTCTATAAATAGTGAACCAATACTATACACCTTAATGGTGCAACAATTTGAAAAAAAACCACTCCCAAAGAAACAGCAGATGTCATGGTTCCAGCAAGATATCCTCACTGTGCACACTGCTAATGCACCCACAGCTTGAGTCTGTATTCAATGGGCAAATTATTTTAAAGAATTTGTGGCCTCATACTCCCCCAATTTAAGTCCACAAGACTTCTTTATGTAAAAATACCTGAAGAACAAGGTTTATGTAACTCATCCATCACCTTGCAAAAACTGCAAGCAAATACTCAGAAGAAAGTACTGTAGATGGCATTGCCCATGAAAAATTGCAAATGGCCTTACCAACATGATAAAACATATATTGTACATCTCTGAGGAACATAGTGGTGCAGTTCCAGCATTTGAGGTAAACTTGAGGAAAAGATTTTATATTAAACCTCATTAAACCAATATACAATAGGTTGTGTGACTTTTTGATCACCCTGTAAATTAAATAAAAATCAAACAATTAAAATTAACAAACCTTTTGTCTCAACAGGCCTTGATAATTCTAAAGAATGTTCTTGAATAATCTCATTAATTGCATTTTTAATTTCTTCATCTTCATTTTTTGTAGTTTCATCTACATCATCACTTTTAGTAGCATCTTTACTTTTATCCTTCTCTTTATCATCCTCTTTCTTTTCTTCATTTTCATCTTTTTGATTAGCCCACTTTGTTGCTTTATATTCATCTAACTTTTCTTTTGTTTTAGCATCTACTTTTACCTAAATAAATATTTTATTCAAAAATCAATCATCATAATTTAAAAGTTATTATAACATATTTAATATGTTACATACTTAATTAAGATTAATGTACTTTTTTCTTATTAGTAACTATAAAAATACTTTTAAATGGTAAAAATTTTGATATAAGACCATAAAGCTTTTATTAATTCTTTCTATATTACACCTTGTAAAAGATGGAATCCATGCTATCTTTTCCATCTTCTTTCTCTATATGTGAATTATATTTTATTAGTATTATTTAGTTTTTGGAATATTATATGTAGTCAGAGGAAAGGACTTTATACTCTCATTAATTTGAAAAAAATGGGGAAGAATTTGTTGTTTATTGTATTATTCCTCAACCCAAAACTAACTAATTTACATAAATAATAGCCATCATGTGAAGCAACATCAACCAAATCTACTGTGATGTCAGGTGTCTTCTTATACCATAAAGTATAAGACACTCGACCATGAAGTAATGAGAGAGTGTTTTTTGGGATGTGAAAATACTTAACACTTGCATAACATAACTTGATAATTCAAATATTCAATTGTTCAACTTTATAAGCTGGAAACCTATATATATTTAGGGGACCAGAAAGTAATATTGTTTCTGTCAATATTTGTTTATCATTTATCAGTTCATTGTGTACTTCAAAGCCATGCCAAAGACATTTTACGGTTAAAATGACTTGTTTACTTGTAAATAACTTAAATTGTAAATCTTAAATTTATTTTTGCAGTTTTGGGTGAAATGACCAGCCAAAAACCAGAAGAGGTACAGTACATATCCAGCCTTATATGCTTATTGAGTTTCACAAGGGTAGTAACGCAACAGTAGCAACCAATGTTATCCAAGTGCATTAGACGTTCATAATTTTCTAAGTTCAGATCCGGTAATTTTGATCTTTTCAACTCATATCGATCAGGAAGACCAACAACTTTAGACAATGACATGTTAAGGGCGGAAGTGGAAGCAAATCCATGTCAGACAATCGAGGAACTGTCAAACACTCTTAACCAACCTTAATCAACCATCCAAGAACATTTGCAGCAGATTGTAAAGTATGCAGAGCAGATGTTTGGGTCCCACATAATCTGTTTGAAGAAAACAAAGCTAACTGATCCACCATATGCAACATATTGCTTCAACAGCATAATACAGAAATTTTTTTGATTGCTTGATCACTGGAGATGAAAAATGGGTCCTCTATGATAATCCAAAACACAAAAGGCAGTGGCTCTCTCTGAAAGAATTGCCACAAAGTACTGCAAAGCCAAGTTTACATCCCAAAATGGCACTTTTGTGTGTTTGGTGGAGTATTTGCGAAATTGTTCATTTTGAAGTGCTAAAACCTGGACAAACTGTGAATGCAGACCTTTACTGTGAACAATTGGATTGAGTAAATCAATCTTTAATTAAAAAGTGTCCAGCGACTGTCAACAGAAAAGCTGTTAATTAATCATCGAAGACAAGTTTGTTCAAAAGGGACCACCATTTATTTTGTATTTCAGACTTTACACACACACATATATATATATAGTCTGGAATACAAAATAAATGGTGGTCCCTTTTGGACAGACTTGTCTTTGATGATTAATAATAATCTTGCCATCGGATGGAAAAAATCAACAAAAAGAAAAGCTGTTATTCAGCAACATGATAATGCAAGATTGCACTGTGCAAGATGAAACCTGGAAAAAATTAATGAATTGGGGTGGGAGGTACAGTACAGTACTACCTCACCTACCATACTCACCTGATGTTGCACCATCAGATTTCCATTTATTCTGATCACTACAGCACTTTCTATGTGACAAAAAATTTGAAAATTTGGATAATATCCAAAATGCTGCCTCCAGATATTTTGCTCAAAAACCAATTGATTTTTATCGATTCGGCATTGAAAATTTGCACACTAGATGGCAAAATGTTGTTGATAATGAGGGTGATTAAACATTATTGATTAAAAATAAAAACAAGTTAAAAATTTGTGTCAATTTAATGTAAAAAAAACGACATTACTTTCTAGTCCCCCTAATACATAAAGTTAACCATGAACTAGCCAATATAACAAACTTGTCTGCTACAACATTAAAGTGAGTTTATATGATCATTGTAGGTTCAATCATTTACTATTGTGAGAACCTGGGCTATTTTGTAACATTTAATATTTCGAACAACCCTTTGCTTCCGCCATCTCGTTTATGTTTGTCTTGCATTCACTCTGAAGGCAATATAGGTCAGTCAGGCAATATTTTAAAAATTCACCAAAAATCAAATTATCATTATATTCATATGAAAAAAATTACCTACATTTATTAATATCTTTCGTTTTAAATACAATATATTTTATTAGAAAAATTTATAAGAAAAAAATTGCCAATAAAAATAAAATAAAATGTCAGAACTGAACAGCCTAACTTGAGTATTTATAACACATTGACCTATTATAGCTAAATTAACTTATTATAGCATAAATGAACTTATTATAGTGATATTATTTCATAAATATGCTATAAATGAAAAAAAATTATCAGAAAATAAATAAATCAAGAAAAAAAAAGCATTAATTAAAATTTTTTTAGTCAACAAAATGCCACCTGGAGAAAAATATACAAAACAGATGATAGACAAGATGGTGCTGTCAAGTGCTGACATCTGCTGTTGATTAATTTTATAAAAATCGATTTTTACTAGGGCAATGACGAATTGTTACCCTCGTAGTTTTGCTTAACGACAGAAGTAACGATGGATCGGTACTTTCAGAAGCAAAGAATTAAATTAAACAAAATAAAATATGACAAATCTCAGAAAGAATCTGAATTCAATTTTGCTTTACAAAAGTTACAATTTATTGCATTACAGTTAACAAATACTGATAAATGAATTTGTAAAGAATAAAATTTTTGATAAAACTTACCACTAGTTTTTTATCACCAATCTGCCAATCATGAAGCAATCGAATGGCTCGAAGTCCAGATTCTGGGTCACCATATTCACAAAACCCAAAGGCTATAAAAATTAATAGTAATTAAATAATCTTAAAATCATAAATAAGGAAATAATTTACTATTTTAATATGTCATTCAAACTCTGAATACATATATTTAAAAAAACTATATATTGATGTTAAGTAAAATTTAATTATATTAAAATTCATTAGTAATACTTTCCAAATACTTTTGACAGAATTACAACTGCCATCCTCAGACAAAAATTCAAAAAAGGAACAGTATTTTACTAATTTAAAATTGTTTAAAATGAACATATTTGAATTAAAAATGAAATAAAAGCAAAACAAACCATTACCATTTATGATGCATAAAATAGTTGAAAATAACTACTAAGACTGCCATTACTGTGTATAGCAAATACATGTGAAACTAACAGCACCAAAAAAATTTAAGTACTATCCATCTCTAATGTGTTATGTTAGCATTGTAAAACAAACAAAAGCTGAGAATGCTATTATCAGAGTATGTATAACAGAGTGACATTCAATGTTCCAGGATTAAATGACTTATTGTCCTGTATAATATGTTATATGGGTTAATATTCATAAAATGTGTTTCTAACTTTTTGGCTATTTTGCCATTATGCCACACTTACAGTTCATATAATGCAAAACTTATCCCTGTGTTCACTGTATTTAAAGTTTCAATACAAATAATAACTTTTGATTATTAGTATAAAGTAGTTGCATGTCAACACAATCAAATTCAGAGTTTAAAACTGTCCATCCTAACTGGCAGATCAGCAACCTAGAAGTAGCACCAATATGGTGAGTGCTAGTATTCAAAGAGTTGTTTTTAAAGTAATTTTATATCCTCTGACTTTTCTAATAAGTGTGAGAGCCTGGATGAGATGGAAATTTTAATTAACCACAACAAAATATATCAAATTAATTAAAAATAATGCTTAAATTTCTCATATTATATAAAGAAAAAATTTTCCCAACCCTTATCACCAGTAACTTTCATCCAAAATCCATNTACAGCCTTGATAAGAAAATTTTCTTTAAATTAAAGAACAGCTTTTGTCACAAAATACATAAATGTACTGAAATAATGCTTAAATTTCTCATATTATATAAAGAAAAAATTTTCCCAACCCTTATCACCAGTAACTTTCATCCAAAATCCATCTATTGGTCAAAAACCTTAACATTGCCTAAAAAGGGCATCAAATCAAGGGGGAGAACCCCTGAAATAAAAGACGAACATTGAAACTGACACAGGGAGTTCACTGATCTCCTCCTTTTCATGTGAGTGTTCCATAGCCAATTCCTTCAACCGCTGTTCACCACAGACACCTTAGCAACAATCATTTGATAGTGAACTGTACCATCAAGGAGCCTAACTCTATCCAACCTAGCTGAAACCTCTCCACTCCATCATCAGGACATTTTGTGACCTCAAGACTTTGATCAAGGACTGTTCAAGGTATTTAGCATCACATGTAATAATGTAAGCTCTCTCTCTCTTGGCTAGGAACTCCTAGGAAGGCTATAAGAGGACTCTCTGTTATCCTATGTATATGTGTAAATAGTTTACATAAACAAACAGGTCATTTCTTTATAATTGAGTAGCAGTGTGCACTTCTTTCTGCATGTTCTCTCTCAGACATCCAACTTCCCAAATCCAACCACTCGTGCAAAACTGAAACCGCAGCCAACTAAGTTTCTGTGTCTGCCTTAAAAGACACAGTGGTGTAGCTTCTGAGTACAAATTCACTGAGTACGGCATTAATAAACTTCTTTAGTATTCACACAAGTACTTTCGACGTGTGTATAACCGTCGTCTTCAGGCGAAAAGAACAAGTTTTTAAGAAAACGAACGTGCAGGATGTTCCAAAAGAACATAATCTTTAAATTCAAACAAGCGTCCGAAAATTCCGTTTCGAACATGCGAATAATTTTTGATATTTCGAATCTTTATATTTTACGATGTTAGCGGCGCACGCGTGGAGATGCTACCGCGTTGGCGATACGATGTTGGGCGCATTTCGTTTTTTAGGCGCCGATACAAGGCAATCCACACCCCGGGTAGATCGAGGGTGGGAACATTGCATGCTTCTGAAGTGGCGTGAGAAGCGCTTCCCAGATGAACACAAGTCTTCAATTGTTGCAGCATTTAATTATTGCCGTTTTGGGCCATAACGGGTTGTATCCTTGCTCGAGAACTTTTTTAGCGAGCTCTGTAGAGCATCTTCCTTTAGCTATGTCTTCCTGATGCTCAGCAAGGCGGGAGGCGAGCATTCTTGTTGTTGCTCCTATATATCTTGTAACATCGCACGTTGCCGGATTTTCTAGGTGTATCGTATAAACCCCTGACTTTTCTAAAGTGGTTAGCCTGTCCCGATCGTTGCAGATACATCTGCGTAAGTTTGGTAGGGGGGTTATGGGTAGTATGAAATTATACCGCCGAAATATGCGGCTGATGCGTATAGAAGTTGGTCCAAGATACGGCAATGGAGACTGGATTATGGATGCTTTTTCTTTTCTGTACAACGTGGTACATGGGTATAGGGCCTCTTTTACTTTACGGAGCACATGTTCATATTTACCATACGTAAACCCTGCAAGAGATACCGCTGTTCTGATGATGTCTAATTCGATTTTTGTTGCTAGTTGCGTCGACGGAAGTAGTAATGCCCTTCTAATAAGTGCAGCGATGGCGGCATTAACGTACCGCGACGGTTGAAGAGCATCTGCTGGGATAGTATACGGTAACAGGTTGGACTTGTGATGAATAGAAAATTGCGGCCCCTCAACCGACTTTTTTATAGATAGGTCCAGGAACGCTATTGAATCCTCATGCTCCCTCTCCCAAGTGAAACTGATAGTAGGGTATATGCTTGACAGTTGCTGCACAAACTTGATAAATTCCTCCTCTGTATCCTCCCATACTATTAGGATATCATCAACATAACGTAAGTATAGAGCCGGATACTTGATGGTAAGGGGAGAGTTGAAAATTCTACGCTCGATTTCTCTCATAATGAGCTCGGCCAAGACTGCAGATAGCGGGGAGCCCATAGGAACTCCTTGTTTCTGCAAGTAGATGTTCTTGTTGAAGAGGAAATAATTGTGCTCAGTGATGAAAGACAGCGCACATCACGTATGTCTAGCACTTGCTGTACACTAAAACCCTATTAGCAAGCATGACGGCTTCGAAAACTGGCACAGAAGGATATAAGGACACCACATCCAATTTGTAGAAATTGTAGCAGTCTTCATGTGTACCTCTCACACTGGAAGCAATGGTGGACTTGGCAGCTATAGATGACTGGGTAACATATGGCGATTCTGGAAGAAGTTCACGCAAGAACTTTGCAAGCGCCTTTTCAAGTAGGAAGTAAGTAGGATGTGATCTCGTTTACTAGTGGACGTAACGGCCAGTTTGCTTTGTGTGTTTTCGGTTGAAAAAATAGCCTAGGGCATGCTACGTTGGTGGGAGGATCAAGGCACCCAGTTAGAGTCGAAGCTACTCCCGGCAAAGCTATTATTTTCTTTGTCCTTCGCAGTACTGTTGGTGTTGGATCATCATTTATCCTCTGTGACTGTGATTGCAATAGGGACTCATTGGCTCTAAAGATGAAATCGTCCTCCTTGCACAAAACAAATTTGAATTTGTTTTGTGCAAGGAGAACGATTGTTTGAATTTAAAGATTATGTTCTTTTGGAACATCCTGCACGTTTGTTTTCTTAAAAACTTGTTCTTTTCGCCTGAAGACGACGGTTATACACACGTCGAAAGTACTTGTGTGAATACTAAAGAAGTTTATTAACGCCATACTCAGTGAATTTGTACTCAGACGCTAGACAAATATTGGCGTGAGTTTTTAAATTTATTTTTAATGACACAGTGGTGTCAGTCCTGATACAGGCATCACTGGTCTGGTGCTGACCCTTTAGTCATGGAAGTGTTAAGGATAGCTATCATTGGCCAAAATTCTATGTATGTTTGGCTGCACCTAACAAGGAAGGTATAATTATTAAATAAAAAGAACTAAAAAGATAAGTTAATGCTAATAAAAATATATTGTAGTAAGGTACAGAGATACCTAAATCTCCCAGCTTTTTTCCAATCATGAAGAGATAGAAACAATAATCTTAATACCTTAAGAAATTTATATTTTACTAGTGTATAATCTGCAAGATGACATACGTTAACTCTAAAGCTACCTATTGTTGTGAGGTGAGATAAAAATAGGCTCCACAGATTTAAGCAGTGATCATAGCATTTTTGTATGTGATAGATTGAAAATAGGATTCACATACAGTAGATTGTCGTTTATCCGAAAGCCAGTCAACCGAAAGCGTTCCAGTCGGCAAATTTAAATTTCCGCTAGTGCTGTGGTGCTGCAACCTACGTCTTGGGCTACTCCAATATTTTTTTTTTGGTGTGTGTGTTTTAGCTGGCAGCACTGACACTTTTGTGTGGTGTTTTTCTGAGGACTGTGTGTCATGCTGAATCGAATGTTTTTGATACTAGATTAACTTCTAAAGTATAATATATTTTTTGTTTTTATATTTTTCAATATATTTATTTTGTTTGTGCAAAATAAAGGAATAATTTTTAACAATACAATAGCCACGATTATTATTATAAAAATTTTTGTTAGGCTTAACATCGATGAAAATTCAATACAAAGCAACATGCAACGGAGAAAAGTTTCAACATGGGATAGGTTAATATATTTTTTCATACATAATCTGTTATCTGAACAACCCCAGTCCCCAATTGATTCAAATAAACAATGCTCTACTGTATTATTTAGGGTCCATGTTAAATTTATGATAAAATGCATGCAAAGGAAAGAACTGAATCGTATTTATGTACATTTAAATGTAATATATATATATTTATATTTTACATTTAAATGTACATAAATACAATATATATCATCTTGTTCAACTGTCAATTTGAACAAGAAGACAACAAGATGGAGGGAAAGACATCTATAAAGAGTAATAACTCCTCATACATAACTATAGAAGATAATAAATG